AGAAACAATGACATGGGTTTGATGTAACCTTCCAGAAAGCATTAGGTGGCAGTGGTGTGTTGTATTTGGCAGCTGCTTTGTCTCGGGGGTTTTTCACCTTCTGCAGTCTTTAGTGCAGTTTAATAAATGGAGAAAACATGTATTTTATTTCTTATAGCTTTCATAAAATGCTGATTTATGGTTGTTCTGATTGTATGTGACTAAGGGCAGCTGTTCTTTGGACTACTGAATGCATAAGTGGGGTTAGAATAGTGTAGGTTTTGCACAATATTCATTACTTTTCTGATATGCAGTATCAGTGATATTAACTGCAAATATTCTGATGAGAAATATGCTGTTAATGGTTAAGTGAGTTTAGTTTTGCAGCCTTTACTTTTTCATAAGCGGTTGCCATTTCTAAATTTAATATAGCCTTTTAGATGAAGTATGTTCTTCTGCTTGTGCTTACTCTTTCTTTTTTTACTTAGATAAAAGGCAAACTCAGGCTCAGGAGAATATTGGTAGGAACATAATTAACCTTTCAGCATAGTAGTGTTATTGTCGCTCCACATCTTAGACAGGTGCAGTTACCTTGTGACCCTTTTGGAGGCGTTTTCCCTTCGTCATGTTTCTCACAGGTAAAGGATCTCAAGGAGTTTGGAACTGGTGTTGCATTGTATTAATTGGGCAGGATGATCAATTAATAGAAGAGCAGCAAGAAAGCGTTGACAGAACATGCGATCTAATTAGTACCTGATGAACCGTGTAGGCCACAGAGCCCAGAGTGTAATGTTGCTTCAGGATGGTTCCTATACAGGACCTTTATATGGAAAGTAGGCCTGTGGAAAAGCTAAAAATTAATATTTCAACATAGTTCTGGTGAAGGAAATCCTCACTGCTGAGAAACTGCACTTTCCACTGTAAAATTGGGGAAAGCTGGGGGTACCTAATAATTTATAGAAGGAACATGTATGAAAGTATCAAACCTGTGTTCCGTACAAGTCTTGCTCTTAAAAGTCATGTACCCTTTTGTTTGTTTAGGTCTTTTTTTTTATGTAAGAGCTGATCCACAAATTATGGAAATAGATGGAATAGTTTTTTTTAAATGAAACTATGTAGTTTTTCTTCCTGCTTTTTGAAGTAGAATGAGAGAAATACTAGGATAGTAACATTTCCTGGTTGATTTCCTGATGGCTCGTGATAAAATGGCAAGGCAAATCATTCTAAGAGTAGGTAGCAGCACCACAACGCTTTAAGGGTCCACCCTAACTGGTTTTCTATTACATGTTAGCTTGCAGTCGTTCTTCAGTTGAAAATTAAGTCATTTTGAATTGAGGTAGCACTTTGACTCTAGCGAGGTAGTACTGCCAGAATTGTGTAGTTACTGGTAATTATTTTTCTTCCATTAATTTGTATAAATGTATTGGTAATTAATTCAGAGTTTCTCCCTTCTCCTATGATAGAAGTTTAATGTCTGTGTTTTAAAAAAATGGTTTTTTCAAACTGAATTAATTTTCTCCTGCAGTTTAAGCTGCTTTGTTTTACTGCAATAAGCCGCTCCCTCTTCTAGAATACTTGTATTGAAGAAACCACTGAAGTTTTTGTACAAAACTGAAGTAGGGTTGTTTTCATCCTGCCCTAATGCAATAATTTCAGCAGGGGAAGTTGGAAAATGGCTTCAATCTGTGACCTTTCAGTGGATGCCACAGGGTGGGGGCCAAGTGCATGTTGGTCTACTTGTTTCTTGACCAGCACCAGTAGCTAAAACATGTGCTTGTCTTAAATTAAGTTATCCCAAAATTCAAAGTCCAGTTTAATAAACAATTTCATAATTCAGTCTGTGTTCTGATTTAAATCCATCACAGAATGGATTCTGGAAGAAAACAGGAGTTCAGACCTAAAGGATAACAGCTAGTCAGCCTAGGTTCTAATCTGTGTATCATGCCTTAACCACAGTAAACGATCATTTGGAGTCAGTGTGCTTGATCGCTCAAATATAGCTGTCATATACACAGTGTAGGTAGTACCAAATATGTGTGTTAATTCTATTACGTGCTGATAGGGATTTGTGGCTTAAAGTATTCGGTGTGACAATGTATGTAGAATTAGCGAAAGTGTTAAGTTTAAATGTAATTCTATAGCTCCTGGAGTTATATGGTCCCTTTTTTGTCTGTGTCCAGCAGGGAAACTGTTCAGCTTTCTATTTTGGTGCTCTTATCAACTGATTCGGAACTTTCAGTACATGCCACATAACTTAAAATATTGCTACAAGCCTTATAATGACATAGCATAGAACTGGAAATGTGCAGTTTTGTGGGAGTGTGGAGTGATAAGGGGAACTCACTCTCCTAAACCGTGTTAAGCTGAGCTGTAGTATTTCAGGTGTGCAAGTTTAATATCTTGGATAGTTCTAAACTTCAATTTATTGAGCTCTGAGACCAATAGAAACAGAAAGCCTAGTTTTGTGGTAATGATCATGAGGTTTGGGGCATTGAGCAGCCACACTTTAAATTGCTTGAGGACAGAGATTTCAAGAAGGGTACCTTTATCAAACACCCAAAGTCAGTATGAGCTTTGCAGTGAAGGCAAGGTTTTTTCCACTACCCATCACACCTAGTGTTCACTAGTGTTCACCTCATGTTCACAATCTGCTGTAGGAGACTTCCAGATAAGCTCTCGTGGATCAAAGCAACACAACTCTTCTATTTCCAAATGTCATTTTAGAAACAGGAGGGATGCTACACTAAGCTTAACCGTCCAAATTTGATTCCAAAGCTATTGCAGTTTGAAGGCTGAGCACTGGCTTTTTCCAGAGAGAAAACAAAAATTAGTACAGTGAATGAAAGCCTATAGTGTTATTTTGATTCTTGAAATTATTTAGAAGGGTTGTTGATTTCTTAGATATTTATAATCGTGGCTTAAACATTGTGGTTATGTGGTCAAATTAAGGAGTCTTGTTTTAAGAATTGCAATTTCTTTCTAGTAAAAATGTGTCCGTGTGGACTGTAGATAAGTAGAAAAACGGATGCAATTATATGACCCAGTCCAGCCGTTATTTAGCAGTTAATTTCTCCAGCTTTCTATGAGCATTTGGTCAGATCTACACAGATTTGGTTGTTGGTTTAAATCTAGCCAAGACTGGTGGTGTCTTAATTGCTACCACAGAGCAACCATTTGGCCTGTGTGAGATGAATGTTGTCAAGGTACCTTCTGCAAGGCGGACATTCATCCACTGGGAATGTATCAAGAAAGTTTTCATTAATTGGTCCCTTTGTTGGCATTTGTGGCAGAGCAGCCAAAAACTGAGTATGAACAGACACTATGTCAGGGGGTGAGATTTATTGGCAAGTCACAGTAAAAACTGGTATTCGCTACTTATTTTGTAAGCAGGGGCAAAGGACTTTCCTTCTAAAAACATCCTGGCATTAAACTTAATTAGACTTTTATTTTTTATTTTTTTTTTTTAAAGTCAGGGAAATGTAACAAGAATTGAGACTAAAATCAGAAATCAAATAGGAAATAGCTGGTTAAAATTTTTCTCCTTAATGTTGAGTGTCTTGCGGTTTCGTTTTAATACGATGTGAAGTGTTATGATGAGCTCGGTAGTCTACAGACAGATTTACATGGACCTATGAATACTTCTGTCAGATGAGAACACTTGACAGTTTTTGTCTTGACCTCGTTAGCTTAACCTGTAGATAATAACAGTTACAGTGGCTCACGTCTGATGATAATGTTGTATAAAGCTTGAGCAATGTTTTTTAAACATAGTTTTTGTGTTAATGTTAACTCCTGCATCTTGTTGTTTTGTTCGTTGTATTGTAAGGGACATACTGGTGATGGTTTGTACATTTTTTGTCTTAGTGCAACGCGCTTGATTGTTGCTAAACTTCGATAAACCAAGCTTGTTTGTGTTAGGCTTTCTGTTCTGCTTGCTCGTACCTAATTTATCTTTATAAGAATTTGAACTTATAATGTGGAATTAATGATAGTTTAGACTTATTAACTAAATAAACTGTCATACATTGAGAGAGAATTGATTCTGAAATGTGAATTCATTGGCTCTTTTGATCAAATACTGACAATGTGATGTCTTTAAAGGCGTGTGCAGTTCCAGTGAGGAGGCAGAGTCTCGTTCTGCTGGATTCCCAGCCACGAGTCCAGCAATGTTATTTGAAAATGATAGCTTGGGTTTTCTCTTCCTCCAGCTGCTTCCAGCATTTCCCTCCTCTCATTCTTGTTCTGTTCTGAACAACATAGTATCCAATTCTGGTGTCCATTTGCTGTCATTCATAAACTCTATCAGAGGGAATGGACATCATTGTGTACTGCTGTTATCTCATACTATCCGATGCTTATTCATGGTGGCTTCCACTTTTGCAGTGTTAATCCAGCCAACACTTTGCATACCAATTTGGTGACATTTACCTCTTCTGTTTGTGATCTTAATTTAGTTCTGTCGTTCATCAGAGTGGTAGCTTCAGCTGACACAGAGCAGTGCTCTATATGTAAAGTTTGGGTTGAATTTCTCTTCCCAAACCATTACAGAGTGTCTTTAACCACTGCATGGTTTTTAACATAAATACAAATCTTTTTACAACTTAAGGGAGCTACAGTAGTTGTAGTGCAGGTCATGAAAACTGGCTTCCTGTTACTTTTGTGGTGACAAAAAGAACAATAAAAAGAAAAAGATTATCGCTCCTTGGCTGGAAATCTTAGTTCTAGCTGCATTACATGAAAAAAATATTGTCAGGCTATCAGTCATAGCTACTGCTATTTGCCTAACATGGAGAAAGGGAGAAGGATGCTAAGAGGTACTGAATTAATTGTTATATTAGATGTTAGTATTCTATCATTGACTCTTATTTACAGCTTAGATTTAGTCATTAGATGTAGCTCCTACAAAAGTACAAGTAGGTGAATGCATGTAAGTAAAGTAATCCCCTGTTAAAAACCACTTGACTTATTCAGGAACTTAGGGCACATCTCTAGCTTTAAATACATCTCTCGGTCAAATATAGGCACACATCCCCTATTGAAATAGAGCAGGAATACAAGAGTTGTCTCAACTCGTCAGTTTAATTTAGCAAGGTGATTCCAGAAGACTGTAGATAATTTCAGAGTTAAAAATCTTTAATAAAATCCAATAGTTTAGAAATATACTATGCTATAACTTGGTAGTACAGCCTGCTTAGTGGTTACTTTGACTCACAATACTAAGTCCAGAACAGTCTCACTTTATATTCAGCACTAATGGTTTCATCATTGTCCTGTGTCGGTCTTTATTTTTGGATTTTTAGAACCTTAATAATGGTTTCCCATAAAAAAAAAAAAAAAATAATCTGAAAAGTGTATAATAAAAATAAAAATGCCTGAAAATATTTCTTTGAAATTATTGTCTTGGGAGAGAAGGTCAAGTTTTAATGCAGCCACATCTGGTTCATCCTTTTTATATTACTTTTAATTTGCTGCTTAAGATTCCTCCAAATGTTTGACAGCTTTGCATGAAATGTAGGAAATAAGAAGAAACAAAGCTGTGGAAGTGGAGACTAGTCCTTATTTTAATCCTGGAAAAAAAATATAGAAAAAAATAGGGAAAATAATGCAGATCTACTTCATTTTTCTCAGTCAGAGAAAAATATGGATATTTACATTTGAAACATGCTTACTTAAAAGCTGTGTAATTTCAGGGGGAAGGGGAATTCTTTACAGTTACCTGTGCAATATGTAGTAGTAAAGGATAACACTTTTCATAAATATTTGGAAGAAGTAGTAGTTTTCATAGAAAATAAAGCCACCTGTGTTTTGATGCATGGAATTAGGGATGTGGAGCATCTTTTCTTTTTAAAATGAATACCCCTTATACACAAGGCAAAATAACCATGGTGATGTATTAAGTCATAAATGAGAAAGAATAGTGCTTTCTGAACCTTTTCTAAATAATCAGCCTTTTCAATATGTCACTTGGAAAAGTAGTTATGAGTAAAAATTTGACTATATTAAGTGGTTTATTTACCATGTATTCCACAGTTTAGCAAGAGATTGCAAATTTAGTGTAAAACTGTAAAACTTGCCTGTGCCTGCGTGCTTCACTCCTCCCTTCCCAGTAAGTCAAATTAAGTTGACTCTCACTGGGTGCTGTAAATTCCTTTTGAAAAATAACTTCATGAGCACCAATGAGAAATGTACATTAAATTGATTTAACTGGAGGTTTTCTGCTTGCTCATTTGGATTTGATTAAAGTCAATCAACCCTATTACATTTATTGCATAAAGTTAAGCAACTCGTACAAGTGTTAGGAGGATAGGGACCTGGTAGTGTCTCATCTTGTGGTATGAGAGATCTTATGGTCTGTTAGTATGGTTCTTGGGATGTAATACCATTACATTTATTGACCAGAAGGTCTTTATTAATTTTCAGGGATTAAAGTCCAGGGATTAATTTTGTACAGAAGAGTCCAAACTTCATGGAGCATAAAGTAGGCAGAAATAAAGAATATAGCAGTTGTTTGTGCTACAGCGTGTTCTGAATTCTTACACAAACCCTGGGGGTGAAAACCGTACACGTGGTACACTGCATAAATAAAATTAAGACTGTATAAATATGGTAGAACTCAAGTAGTTTTCAGGGTCTGCACTTCATTTGGTGAATGTAACAACATAAGCACTTATTTTTCCCAAGGCCAAAAAGGTTTGCTCACTTGCTTGCTCTTTATTCTGTAGCAGGTATCAAAGGCAATAGATTAGCATAATGAAATATGATTAATTTACTTAAACTAAGGTGTTCCATGATAACACAACTATGAACTGAACCTGTATCTGTGTTTCAGACTATGTTTGCCAGATGATACACTGTTCCTCACTGCTGAAAAGTACAGTCTGATGCATATTAAAAATAAGGCAGCTAAATACAGTTGTTTTAGAAAGGTGTAATACTGATACTGTAATTGAAAAGGGCATGAGACTAAATTTGCTTCCCCACAGCACTAAAAACTTTACCAAGTCTCCAACAGCAATGTTTAAAGTTTGTTTTTCTTTTGACCTTTGGACTGTTTTTTAATGTTCACAGTAACTACAAAGCATCATCTGCTGTAAAGTGGTATAAATTCCAGACAGTCTTTAGTACTGGAAAGAAGTTAGAAAATTACTTCTAGAGGTATAAAAAAGGAAAGCTAGACTGGGCAGACATCTCTAACCTCCTTCCTTTTACGCTCCCTCTGTCAGGCTCAGGAAGATACCCTTTATTGTTTTTATAAAAGCCTATTAAGTAGTAACATGTTAGTAAAAATTATTGCTGTGTTCAAAAATCAGGATGAGTGCTTGGTGAAAAGCTGTCTTTATGAAAGAGTTGCTTCTTAAAAACACTAGGTGTATGCAGCCAGAAAGATTTAGATAGATCCTAAGTGCAGTAATAGAGCTGAAGATAGTGCTCAGGTGGAAGGTATGAGTGACACAAAGATAATTTGCACGTTTTGAGAACTTGTATTGCAGGAGATATTGGGGGGCTCTAACATTTTGAGGAAGAACTTATAACTGGATGCACAGAGGGAGAGATGAACAATAGTTCAGTTTGAGTAGAAGGAGATAGGTCGAGTAGAAAACAGGCTTGTCTGTTTTCATTACAGAGCTTGTACGTGGTTGCAGCAGAGATTAACCCTGAAATAAGGCTGAATGGGAAAAGAGAAGATCAGAAACATGCATCGTATTTCACCTCCCTCAGTACAAACCCAAACCCCTGGCTCTGTTGAGGTAGCTCTGAAAGGTATAATGGAGAGGGAGGAGGATCAGAAGCAAGTCCACAGTAATCAAGAATGGGGAAAGATACTAAAAAGGAGTATTGACTGATTAATATCTAAAGTATTGATGGAGGACATCAGAGTACTGTCTGAACTTCAGCCATTATGCTGGTTGAAACTTTGGTAAGATGTCCTCTGTGGTTGATGTCTCAGCAGGCTGAGCAGGGTCTAAAAGAGCTGGAGCAAGGACACCTCGTTCATTGTCTCAGGTGAAGGAGAAGGGTATGAAGAGGATTACAGTGAAAGAGCAAAGGTTTGGGGCTTTTCCTTTGTGTAGATGTAGACTGCTAAAGGCATCAGATGGTAGCAGAGGAACAAGCCCGACAGAGGAAGGAGCAAATAGTTTAATAAGCGAGGAGACCAAAATGGGCACAGATAGATTTTAATTAGTAGATGCCCAACAATCTAGTTATGAGTTACATGAAATTGTCAGTCTTTCAAATATAAAAATTGCATGTGCTACAAATATTAATTTTGCAAATTGATAGGAAAGAAGTTAAAAGCCAACTGATAAATCTGAGTGAGAATGAATTTCCTGTGTTATTCAAGAAATTAACACAGTATGCTTCAAGTGTGCTCACTCGTATGGTGGAACAAAACTAGCCATTTGTGCACAGCACTCATACTTGAGGTTGCAGGTACATTCATCTATGTGTATGGAAAAATACCTGTGGAAAAACTTGAAGTCAAAGCTTAATATTTTGCTCTTACGCACATGGGAATTATCCTAGACTCCTAACAACAGTTTTGAGTTGGAAGGGACCATAAGTACCCATCAGCAAATGACAGATACATACATCAAAGAGGAAATTGACTCCAGTGGAAGTGGCCTTTTTAAATTTTGGATTTTGTGAAGTATTCTTCTCTTTCTTTTCCACAATTAATTACAAACTAAAGCAAAGGGATTAAAATCCGCTTTATGTTTCGGTGCCGCAACTGATGTTGATAGAAAGGGCAGATGTTAAAGCTCTGGAATAAGGGCTATCAAGATTTATAACACAACTAACTGATTATATTGCAACTTCCTCATCTGAAATGCTGTTTCCTGTTGATCCATCACTTAGACTGAGCAATTCAAAAATAGACATTAAAAAAAAATAGCTTATTGGAGTTGAATTAAAGCCACAGGAAGATGGTGGAGCTTTGAGGATTCTTTTTCAATAGGCGTTTGAGCCAAAAAAGTCAGAATGCTCTGTTCAGAACAAATGGTAGAGAAACCGTGCTACCATTTTAATTAGTATTGCCCATTTAACATTGGATTTCTTGCAGTCATGTCCTTGAATAACCATTTCTTAACTAAAATGACAGAATTTTGTAGCCAGTGATCCATGACTTTAAATATTTGGAAGGGCTATTGATTCACTGAACTGGAAAAAATTAAAGATGTTGAGGCTTATTTTCAAAACTAGAATTACATGTAGGATCATATTTGATCATGTATATTCTATTTACTCTGTTTTAAAAAATGCTAGGCACATGTGATGCAGCATTCACTCCATGGTTCTGTCTGTGACAGCCTTAACTGAACATCGGTGGTACTGTTTGAATCAGCCGTGTGTAACACTCAGAGAGCTGCTAGCACCTCCTCTTGTTCCCATGCCGTGCTCCTCTCCATGTACCTATTTCTGCTTGTGGTAGTCATTCTCTCTAGGTAAATTGTCCATAAGACCAATGACTCCATCAGTAAATTACCCAGAAAATGCCATCAGTGCGCATGGTGACATTTGTGCCACTGGTGTTTTGTTGCCATTTCTGTGGTCTAATTAAATTGGCAGTTTTCTCTTGTGCCCAGCATCGTTGTCTCCCTTCCTTTGGCACCTTACCTCAGACCTTCTCCTTTCCTCTGTCCTTTTAACTGAGTATCAAATGCATTATTGATTGCTCCTCTTCCACCCTCCTCACTTCCGCGCCCCTCAACTTTGGTTTTTTATCTCTCTGTTTGTTTGTGTGATGGGCAGTATCATCCAGACAAGCAGAAGGCAGATGTGCCAGCAGGAGAAGTGGAGGAGCGTGTGCGGAGGTTCATCGAAGTCGATCAAGCGTGGAAAATTCTAGGGAACGAAGAGACAAAAAAAGAGTATGACCTGCAGCAGCGTGGTAGGTCCCTGCCAAGGAATGCAGCAGTGGCAGTCGCTCTTTAAATAAGCAGGGTCTGGGAGTGGTAGTTAGATGGTATTTTAAAATGCTGTTTATTGCTGAGCCAAATGTTTCTTTCACTCTTGTCCTACTTTCCAATGCGGATCCGTTATTTATAGCTTTTGCTACACATCCGTTAGCTAGTGAAAGCATTGAGTTACTTCCAACAAAACATTAGGTGGCGTTTTTCCTAATAATTTGAACAAACATGGAATTTATACTAATTACAGACCTTAGCCTTTTTTATTCTATTAAGGCAGCTTCATTAAGCGACCTTAATTTTAAGTCTTACCCTACATTTTGTTGCAATATCGTAGATATAGGTATTAATCCATTTATACCTAGTGTTCAATGTGTATGTATTTATAAGCACTTGAGAATCATTAAGGCACATTCTTTTCGGTTGTGTGTGTTATAGTAGCTTTCATAATTCATCTGTAGTCTAAATTAGTCTTTTAAAGCAGGTTTATAAATAATATTCTGGTATAACACATTAACTAGGCAGCTCTAGCATGCATTTCTTTTTATACCTTTCAGAAAATAGCTTCTTAAAACAGTGACAGGCTGTTGTGAGAAAGAAAGGGGGGAAATGTAGGTCAGGTCTGTCACACATGGGCTACCATTACATGAAGTGATAGGCTGTCTTTCTGCTCTGGCCTCAGGATAGGAGTCCCTCAGCCTTCCATTAGAACCTTCAATAAATGTATATCCACCCTACATGTTAATGGGGGGAGTCAATAATAGTGTATTGCCTGTGGGGAAAACACTCAGTCGCGCTCTGCAGTAACACACTCTGGTCCAGCATTGACGTGTAGCCACCACCACTTCTGAATGTGTCTGATAAAAGCCCACTGTCTCTGCAGCTTGTTATTGAATTCTTTTCCATTGTACGTTGGCACACCATCAGACCCTTCTCTCTTGTGCTGATTTTTAACTCCCCTGCCGCTGCGAGTACCACAACTTTGAGAGACAAAGACATAGTCATTCTGGCAGATATGCATCACTGCAGGATAAAAAGAGTGATACATAATTGTATGTACCCAATATGAATGCTGTAGTTAAATAATATTGTATTTCACACTTTGTGTGGGTTTTGGAAGAGAGAGTGGAGGGGCGAAAACAGAATCATTGACTAAATAGTTTAAAAGGATGGTAAAAATATTGGATGTTGTGCTGATCTGTTGTATAAACAGGACTAAGGTCAAACATGAACATATTTTCATCTCAGATTTATTTTTTAAATGCCTGAATGTGATGCCAGAAAAGGAATTTCTTCTAGCGAGTGCTCTCACCCTATTGCACTGCTGGCAGTGTAGTATCAGCTGAGGCTTCCGTTTTCACAAGTCGTACGTGCACAGGAGAAAAGAAATACTACCAGTCACGTGAGAAGTCTTTTGTTTATCTACTGAATTTTAACTAAAGCTTAAATACAGAGTTCCATGTCACTTGGGTCTCGTTAATCCACTGAAGTCAAGAGCTACATCAAGATCTAGTAAGTTACTTTGTTTTCCCGTGGAATGTAAGGACATGACTATAAATGAGTTTTGACAAAACTCATTCCAAAGTATTTTAAAGGTTATCTCTATTTGCTGAGATTCTTTTGCATCCAGATGAGGTCTTCAAAAAGTCAGTTGAAGATTCTCTAAAAAAGACTTCGTAAATTAAGAAAACGTATTGGATATTTATTTACACGGGTATTTGGTAATGGGATAGATGTATTTTAATATGGAGGGTGCCATTCACAGGGGACCCAGTGTTTCAGACTAAGCCACATGTAACATGCATGTGCAGTGTAGTTGCATTCTTCGCAGCATGTTCCCTGGCAGCGAAATGATGGTGAAATAAATTCTGGTACTTTGAATGGCTGTCAAGCTGCTTCTGAAGGCATGATTCTAGACTAACTCGTAGACACTGCTGTAAAAGCTTACAGAAACAAAGGAACGGAGACAGCAGCTAAGGGGAATAGTGATGAGGGAGATAATACACCCAGCTAGTAGGATTGCGAGGCCCAGGAAGCAGGATCTGAAGGATGCCAGCATGCACATGTGCCTGGCTGCCAGTCCCTTGCACTGTAGTCCTTTTCCCATGTCACAGATTGTTTATTTGTATTTACCTTCTTATGTTATACTCACTAAATCTGAATCACTTAGCTCAGAAATTCGGTGGCCAGAGATGTTCCAGGAAGCTGAAATTCTTCGGGGCTCTATGGTTTTAATTTTCTGTTTGTTTGAATTGTTGAGAATAACAAATGAATGTGCCTCCATACCTTAATACTGCTTTTCTCTGATGGTATGTCTATGGTCTCCTACTTATTTCTTTGTGCCTTCAGGCCACAGTATTACAGAGGGAAGGACAAACCTCAAACCATTTAGAAGTTCAGTTGAAATACTCATCCAAGCCTCTCTGGTCTGGAAATCTGAGGACAACTGTCTTTTTCTATGTTTTGTGAAATGTTTTCCAATTCATTGCTTTGTAGTATCTTTAATGACATATAAGAATACATGTTACAATGCTGAGGGGGTTTGCTTCCAGTCCTGTGGAAAAAAGGAAAAAAAAAAGGTAAAAAATTAGGGAGTGGAAAAAAAGCTGCATAATAATTTACCTATTAAGAATGGATTTTTTTTCCCTATTAGAATGACAGACTGGTTTGGGTTGGAAAGGGCATTAAAGCTCATCTAGTTCCAACCCCCTGCCATGGGCAGGGACACCTTCCACTAGACCAGGTTGCTCCAAGCCCTGTCCAACCTGATAGAATGATGAACAGAAAGGTCACAATTAAAATTAAATCAGTAAACTGGTGACTTTGATTAATTTCTGATGCTTAATGTAGCAAACAATTCAAAGCTAGTAATGGGATTAACACTAAAACCAGTTGCTTTGTTTATGTTTTGGGGGCAGAGGGTGGAGAGATTTAAGAACCTAGGGGATTCTAGGGATTCTTCCATTTATGGCTCCAGTGAGACTCTATGCTGGATGATACGTTTTTGCATGGTGATGTACAGAGGTGTCTATAGAGCCTGGGTGTTTATAGGGTGGGCTGTCATCCCCAGGAGGAGTTTTCACATCTCAGCACAACCTCCTTTTCATTTTCAGGTTTGAAATTATGCTGTTAGAAAAAGATTGCAGATGCGTTTTTCATCCATGAATACATATTCCAGAATCATTTTTGTTTTGTTCTTGCTTCATTTGTTAGAGCTTAAGGCCAGGTTGGACACAGGGGCTTTGAGCAAGCTGGTCTAGTAGAAGGTGTCCCTGCCCGTGGCAGGGGGTTATAACTAGATAAGCTTTAAGGTCCTTTCCAACTCAAACTGTTCTATGGTCCTACATAAGGAATTAGAGGTCCTAACTGGAATTGCCACTGTTGCAGCTTGCGCTGTTTGAGGAGTCTGGTTCCATACTCTCTGTACCTTCCCTTTAGGCAGTGAGGCACAAGAAAAACCTTTAGTTAGCCTGGAATAGCACATTTTAAAAGATCTGGTCGCTAATTCAGCTTTCACTTCTTTAAAAAATGAAAAATCTTTGAGGGTTTGTCCTTACTTTCAGTTAAGTTTCTGCTGCAGGTTCGGAAAGGGAGGCTTATACAGGTGGTCATAAAGCAGGAAAATGAAAACCCACACTAAAGAGATGGTAGCTCCTTCTCCTCCTGCTCCTTCCCTGTTCCTCTCCTAGTACAGTAAACTGGAAAGACTGGTTTAGAGATGATACTGTATTAGATATCAAGATACTTTACATGATGTGGTAAATAGGATGCCAGAATAACCTTACAGATCCACTAAGAGTAAGCAGGAGAAGCGAGACGAGTCTACAAAAATGCTTGCAGTACTTAAGTACACCTCCCCTACCTAATGATAAGAAAGGAAAATAATTAATGCAGCACAGTTCAGTTGTTCCTTGTTAAGAAAATTCCTTCTTAAAAAAAATAGTAAATAAATACTTTCAGACCAAACTAAAACTTTTACCATGGTTGTTACTTCAGGCGTTTCACTGTGGCAGGTGCTACTTGTGGAGGGACAGAAGTGTGTATTCCTTCTCCAGCCAAGTACTCTTAGGGCGGGAACACAAGCCTTGCTCCATAGCTCTTTGGAATTAATTCTGATCTGGCTAGAAGTGACACAGGATTTATTTTATTTTACTTAACAAACATGGCTTTTGTTATGGAAATTCTTACTGCATGACTTTTTTATCATTTTCAATTCAAGTAAGCATGGTTAGTTTAAATTAATGTAAGAGACTTGAACTTAAGTAATCATTTAAAAACTAAACAGTCTGTTAGAAAAAAAAGACTAGTGAAAACATCCAGGTTTTGAGAGCTGTGCTGATTTTGATGCTGAGTAGGTACTATGGACAGTATTAGATTGAACCTACACATCTTGAACTTTTATGAATTTGAAGACTTGTATGACTGATAAAGAGCTACAAAAATCTTTAAGTATTACGACTATTTTTATTATTACCATAAACTGTTAAAAGGGTGAAATTTCCATTCACTGCTTAGAACCCTTTCCCTAAAACTCAGCCTTAAATAGCCCAAGAAATATTTATTGTATCCTCAAGTGAAACTTAAATACCTTTCCTCTTTTACAATTCCTGAATGACCCAGCAAGGGCTCTAGTAAAGCTTTACTGAACCAAGCTGCTAATAGTTATTTAATGTTGTTCTGTAGCCTGAAAGAATCTCAGTAGATTTTTCCTTTTAATCTCTTTGAATTGCAGGCTCATAAACCTCTCTGATGAGCCTGCCAGTGTTTTCTGAGATCTTGCAGTTGAGACAATGGAGCTGCAGAATCCTTTCACCTCTTGTTGTCAGACAAATCCAAGAGATGGCAAAGCCAGGCAGGCTGTACTTGTGAATTAACATTTGTTTTCCAAACTATGGTAGATTACCAGGACTCCACAATTTCCCCTGTATGTACAGGAGTGTGTTTCACACAGTACAACTTGGTACACAGAGTTCTGCAGCTTGAGCAGGCGTCACCTACCCCGTAACTCAGCACTGGTAACAATACCAGTCTTAAATAACTTTCCCTTCTGGCAAAGGAGTGAAAATCAGACGTGGGTTTACTCCACAGAACCACCAGCGAGGGAGCCCTGATTGTAGTAATAATGATGTAGATGAAATAAGGAAGAAGTTTTAGTCACTAATACACTGTGAAAACCATTAGTTTGCAGTTTGCTTGTAAGCTCTCTAAACTCACACTGGGCTGTGCCTCAAATAAGTGGCTGCATCTGTTTCTGCTGGGTTCTGTATTTAATGGGAGAACTAGAAAAGAAATCTTTGTTCAGCTCTGGAAAGTAAGTTTCTCCGGCTTGAACAAGACAAGCAAATAAATGCAGCATAGAAAACTGACTGACAGGAGGGTTACTGGATTATGTGCTAAATTTGGAGACTTACTCAAGTCAAGAGTACTAATTGACAATTCACATCTTTTGAGATAGCCAGTAAGACACTTGTCTTTCGGACTTGAGTATCAGACTGGGAATAACAATCTCAGTTCAGTCTGGGAACTTGTAATTAGTTTTGCTTATTTATTTTTTTCTTTTCAAAATTACAATTGCAGTAATGAATTAGAAAAGCTTGGTTGAAATTCTGCTCCCGAGGCTTCATATTGTACTATGTTTGGAAGAGAGTGTAGACTTCCCCTCAGCTTTCCTCTTCATTACTTGAATGGTTGAACCTAAATGATTCAACGATTTGTGAGTAACTTAACTTCAAGAAGCACAGGAACCTCATCAACTTGTGTCTCAGCAGTTCTCTTTGTGGAGGCATAGGGTTCATCGGCCCTTTTTGCATTTTCTGCTGGCAAGATGTGACCCAGTCCTCCACCTCCAATCCTATATAACTCGTTCTAAGTGAAATCTTGCTTTATGACTTACTTAATATTTGACAGTTGGGGTTTGGTTTGTTTTGTTGTTTGGGATTTTTTCAACTGGCCTTAAATCCTTTATTTAAAAACCCAAAATGTAAGTATTAACTTATTAACTCTTCCCCACAACATACATAAGATTAGCTAAAATGCAAAGAGTTCATTTTACTACTGGGAAGTTACACTAATACTTCTTCCTAGGACACTCTACTCTGAAAGAGCCATGAAAGAAAAGCAATTAAAAATACCCAACCAAAGCAACAGTTAAGTTGGATTTTGAATTTGGATATTTAACTATAGCTGTGATCAGCTATTGCAAGGGTTTGACTTCCAGAGTAGCCTTAAACTTTTTTGCAAAAACATATGCTCCTTTGTTGTAAGGAAGGAATCTTACGTGCAGATAGTTTGGTTTACATAGTTAATGTGTGAAATCAACTGATAGTTAATTAACCCAGCTCATATATGTCTCTTCTGAGTCACTTCATCACCGATAACTGGTCCCACATTTGGTATCAGGTTTTGGCAGTTTTTCTGGGATATTAGTGGACAAGATAGCTGCAAAGTCTCTTATTTCTACTTTTCAGTCCAGAGCAAAGAGAAGCTACATAGAACAAGCTGGGAAACATTTAGAATACCCTACAATATAGTGATTAGGTTGGGAATTAAAATAACATAAAACAATCTGGGCTTCTGGCTTTTTCAGCAAGTCCTCAAAAAGTTCTGGAGTAAGAAATTCTTTCCCTGCCAACTGAATTTCTATAGAAAGCTGTAAACAATACTGCATGCTCTAGAAAGCTTGATGTTATTAAACTTATAAATCTTAGATTCATTGATTCAAGAGATGGAGCACCTACTCTCTCAGTAACAACTCAATTTAAGCTTTAAGTAAGTGCTAAGCTCCCGAGTCTTGCCAAATCTAAGGCATTTCTGTGTATGTGCTAAAGATGCTTTTAGGTGTTTCTGGTTCTTCAAAATGTAGCATCTGGGGAGTTGGAGCTTCCAGGCAGCAGCTGGGAGGTTTTGTGTAGTAAGTTGTAAAGGGTTTATGTCCTTTTTGTACATCATACCTGAGTGTGCTGATAAATTGGTGTTTGTTGTGGGGGGTTTACTTGGCTTCAACTTTCTAAAGGAGAACGGGTTGCCTAAGAGAGGTTGTGGAGTCTCCATTTGTGGAGATAGATAGATACTTAAAATCTGATTGGACATGATCCTGGGCAGCCTGCTTGTAGCTGACCCTGCCTGTGCAGCAGAATTTCATCTTGAGAGGTCCCGTCCGACCTTGGCCATTCCCTGATTTTGTGCCAGGTACAGGTACAAGTAAGCAGATGTTCCCAATTCCAGCTTGTGGAATTGTAGTTACAGACAGGCCTTTAAAAGGTTTTTCTATCAAAACAAAAGTTTTCCCCTAGTTCGCATAATTGTTTGGGATGTGCAGAAGTGCTGTTTTCAGTCATGTCTTAATTTCAGGAATATGGCTTCACCATCTACTTCTCCTGGCTACAGCAGGACATTTTCCAGCTTATGGAGAGCCATGGAAAAACGAAAGTTTTAGAGAACTGCATTTTTAACTGACTCTCTAGTACTAACTAGATGTGGCCGCTGGGTATGTAATTGATCTTCATTGATCAGGAAGAAATAAGGACCTGGGTGTTATCAGGGTTGAACATCTGCCATGTTTTCTTTATAGAAAATAATCTGACAAAAGAATGGCCACTACATGCACAGATTTCCCTTGAGGATATGTCCTGGAATGAAGGTACGAGTGCCTTAATACTTGTTCCCAGTGCCTTTCACTGCCATTGCAAATGTATTTATTTTTTTGTGCATCTTATACCATTATTTTGTCTTAGAAGTTCTACTTTTTTGTATTTTTCTCAGCTTTTTAGCTATCCTGTTCTCTGTGATTACCTGAATTGGAACTTAACTTTCTGTAGTACTTACCTTGCGTTCCTCCTCCTTCTCCCTGCCCCATTTGCAGTACCACTTTTCACCTAGCTCTCTCCTTGTTGTATAATTGAGTGTTTAGGTTTCCAAATTCTTCCCAAATCTCTTGTGCCTCTTTTGGCTCTTTCTGTGATGGCAAAATTTCAGGTGTTTTCATAAAGGGTGTTTTTTTTCATCTGTGTGTTACCTCCCTCCTTTATGGTACTCCAGCTTTTGACATTTACTTGCTTTTTAAATGAATGGCAGACGGGTTTGGTTTTGGGTTGGGCTTTTTTTGGTGGTTTTTGGTTGGTTGGTTGGTTTGGGGTTTTCTACTGTTCTTTTTTAAGCTGCGAGGGTAGCCCAGGTACTGATAACATATAATCCAGCAGTGGGAGGTCATTTGTTACATTAAGATCTGCTTTGTGAAGAAAACTCAGAATAAATTCTTGGTTCTTCTCAACCACTAAAGGCTTTTTTGTTTTCTTTTTGGCAGATGAACAATGTTACACTCTTTCATGTCGATGTGGTGGGAATTACACTGTCTTCAGGAGTGAAACCAAAGACGTATCTTTGGTTTGTTGTGACATGTGTTCACTTGTAATCGAGATCCTTCAATGATTGTTTCAATCAAGCACATGAAGAGTTACAAACTTGTAAAAAGACTGGACAAATGGGGGACAGCATCTACTAAAGGAATGTGTGTTAAAGAAAAGGGGACAAGAACGAGTTCAATCAGGCTTAAGAAAGGAAACATGCGCATTAGCTAACATAGCCCTGCAGCCATGAGGCTTGTTTTTCCTTCTTCAGCTGAAGAGCTAGTTACTAAAAACCTCCGGAACAGACCACGGAGTTCTGTACAACTGGAATATATCTCATGACCAATAGTATATTTCTTTACCTGCAAACAATGGAGTGGCTTCTTTCAGTCTCAGTCTTTATCAAATCTGCCTCAGGCCCCACCTCTTAAGTTAAATCCTTTTAACAGCTCAGATGACAAAATTTAATCAGGAGCCGCAGATGTGGGAATGCTTTGAAGATAATGAAGAGTAAGGTGCATTAATGGGAACACTTTATATTTCCATACTAAATATTTTAACTTCATCAAGTTCTCAGAAGGACTTGAGCCTCAGAAAGAGGTGGCAGAGACTTGCAGGTCAGGCAGGCCGATTCTCTTGGTAATACATAGCAGGTCCAGTGCCTTTGCACACCTGACAGTGCATCTGCTTTTCAGCTTGGAGCAGGAGCATGTTCTGAACTGACTCTCTCCATCTTGAACAAATGCAGTCTTCATTCCTTACATGAAGACTAAGGAGGAAGCCAGGCTCTGACCCCTACCAGGCACACAGGCCACTGGACCACACTAGAGCTGGTGTAAGTAAACCCTACGAAATTCCTGTGAGCAGATCCAGAACCCCACCATTACTGTTTTCAGTCCTAATCCTAGCAGGCCACACCACTTGCTACTGTAGGCACAGCCTCCATGCAGCTCTGGGTGCATTGTGCCTTTTTCATCCCTTGTTAACAGTCAGTGCTAACACTGGCTTGCAGTAAAACCCAACTCTTTCTAACAAATTCAAGCACTTACTGTAAACAGCCAGAGGAAACAGTAAGAAAGAGGCAGGTTTTGTTGATGACAGCAGTGTATCATTCCCACTTTCGAGTTAGACGTAATCTCAGAAAGAGACCTCTTTATCAAGTCATACTTGTGTTTATTCTAAACAAAAATAGTTCCATTAATTTTAGTAGAAAATACTATGAAAGCTGGCAGTAGTTACTTAAATCTTTTAATCATCCAGAAATCTGTGGCCATTGGGGCTTGCACGTAGAAATCCAAAGTCATTCAGAGGCCATATCTGTAAAATAAAACACAGTTACAAGAGGTTTTAATCACAACTCAGAAGTTCAGTATTTTCACTTGTTATTGTTGTAATCATTTCATAAGCTATAATTTTCTTAGCTTTTTGGGTGACAGGGCATGTGAACTTCTCTCACCTGCATGTTTCCTTTACTAGGAGCAATAAGTGCTGTCTATCACGAGGAATCGTCATTCCATGGTAGCCACAGACAGCACTAAGTTATACACAGCATGCTTTGCTATGAAGAGCCTCACAAATTACAATATTCTTCTCAGCCTTGGAAATAAATACATTCCTAGAATATCTTTCAAATTCAAAGTTTTCTAGCTTGTAAACCCCTTAACTTACTTAAAAGACAGAGTACGTGTTTTGATCCATCTAGGAGAAGAATACCATGAAGGTTACCTCCCAGTGAAAGTTGTTCTGTGAGATACAAATTTGAACTTTCTGGATGGGCATTTGGACTGCAGACACCAGACCCTGGAATAAAAATTCCACAGGTTTATAGATAAGCTTATCCCATACTAAAAGGTATAAAGGGGTGGAGTTCTTGCCACCATCAGAGGCTGCCAACCCAGGGGCTCCTCTGAGAAGGGGACCACCATGTAAAAAAGGAGCACAAATCATGACCAAGTACAAGTGTCAGAGGATGATGCTCACCAGCAAGAGAAAAACCTTCTCTCCAGAAATTACCTGTATAGCAGTTCATGCTCCTGAACGCTCCCGGGGGTACTGTGCTCTGAACAGTCGCTAATTACATGTAGGCTGGTCTTGGATTTAAAAAAAAGAAAGTAATAGGGAATCAAGGACATTCTTTTATGCTTTGTCCTTTGTCTCCCTTGACTGCCTGTGTCTCTTCACAACACTTGTTTCAAAGATGGCACAAGGGGATCAGCAGGAAAACTGAAGAATGAATGCCCTAGGTGGCTCTAATCCCATAAAAATCTCACGACCACTGCTCAACATGAAGCAACCTAGACACAGAAAGATGATGCACTACCGTGTACCCAAAGCATTTGTCAGTATGATGTTTATCTTATCTTGCTCCTTTTTCCTCAGAATCTCTCTTAAGGAAGGGATGCAGTCACCTTCCAGGAACAGCAGCGTACTCTTTGACTGAGTTAATGGAACAGCCACAGCACAGAAGGAGCCTCACATTTGTTTTAACTATTGTTTTGACAATTTAGTTTCAAATTCACAAATTCATACAGTAATCTTAGTGGTAGAGTTACTTAGAACAGAAATGATGTTTTATCTAGTCTGCATGTGGGAAAGAACGTGAGAAACAATACTAGTGGTTGGAAATGAGATGGAACAAGCTGCCTCTGTGAAACAAAGACATGCCACTGTGTGTAGCAATTCCCAAGTCTTTTAAAGTTATGACAGAAGTCGACTGTGACTTGTTCGTTCAAACTGGCTAGTCCAATTAGCAGCTATTTCCCCTTGCCTTCGTCAGTTTGGCCTACATAGATTTGATCTGATGGATGGGGGATAAATGGGGCTAACTAGCTCTTTTGAAGATACACGACAGGTCCATTTTAGACATGGAGCCTAAGCCCAGGGAATACACCATATCTCCTACCTAGGGCAAGATGAAGCCCGAGTTCTGTCAATGTGGGACTCTCTCAGCTTCTAATGAATTTGCAGCTGCTTTGGTTGCAGCAGCCTTTTCATGGAATGAGCTTGTCTCTCAGAGTAGAGGGAGAAAAAGGGGTTAATATAACTATCATTAGCTCTGTATGGGCTAAAAACTGGCACACCAGCATTGACTGAGAATCTTAGATCTGAACTTCACTGGTAAGCCACAGAGAGTATTAACATTTATGTTTTGCCAAGAATAGGTTGCCTGAACAAACTTGGTACAAGCTTCCTCTCTTCTGTCAAAATCCATTACTTACTTACAAATTAGATTTGGGGTTTTGCATCTCTTACTGAAAACATAACTTAGCATCGAAAGCCACTGTTACATCTTCTCCTCCAAAATACACTTCAAGAGAAAGCCACATAAGCTTCCATTCTCGAGGCAGTAAAAGATTTTAGGTGAAGGAGAAGCCAGACCCCTAGCAGACTACATTAAAACCAGATGTAGGTTTCTTGGCCAGTGGTCTCGTTAGCTGCCACCATGCAGACTGGCTGTATTCTGCTGCCTTTCACTGTAATGTTCAGCAGCAACACATAATAGCAAGATCACTGTATTCTAATGTGAATTACCATCAACAATCCAAATTATAAACACTCATTTGAAGAACAAGCTCATTTTTGCTTTTGTTAGGCACCATATACTTAAATCTCATTAAAATGTTAATAATCACTACTCTAGGCACCATCATAAAACAACTGCTATAAGATTTGGTTAATTATTTTGAGTAAGTATCAAGTGATTGTACATTATCTGTTTAAACAGACACTATTCTGGAGTCCTAAAGTACTTCTTCAGTATGGAGTATCTGCATGTAAGTTTCACTCATTTTACAGAGTTTGCTGCGTGCTAAAATTCAGGGTTCAGTCTTGTCAGTAATTTCATTCAAGTCTCAAAATTACAGCTGCCCACAGACATAGGTTCTTAATAAATAATTTGCTTAAATAAGTCCCCTTAAAGTAGTAAGCAGCTGTTTTTTCTATACTAGTGTATCAGTTGGCAACTTCTTCCATTGGATTATTAGTGCCACATTATCACTAAGAGGGCCGTCAGCATATTAGCATCATTTGTATTTTAGCAGTTAGCAATCCAAGCCAAAACTTGGGTCACACAAAGAGCTGTATTTAGAATCGGTGTTTTTCCTCTGGTGTACATGTAAGGCAAACAATATAGGGTAGGAACGGAGCACTCTAAACACTAGGGAAGAACTCAAGGCAAATGCTATCCAGAAAGACCAGAGATCAGACAGAATTTGGTGGTGGGGTTGAGCAGAACATGTTATTTGAGGTTTAAGTAAGCAATTAGGTTATTTTGAAAAGTCTTAAGTTTTGGTCATTAAAACTGTAAATTAAGTCCATAAATCTTTATTAAATTGCACGTAATACAGCTGTACTGAATTATGGTTTTGTGGCTGTGTTGCAATATATGGAGGACAGTTTTGAAACCCTTTTTCTCACTGTTCTAAATGGCACCATTTTAAAGCTAGCTTTCTAAAAGCTGGTGTGTAAGTCTGTCATACAAATTTCCTTGTTCCTTAAACTTTTCATGGAGAGGAAGTTGTGCTAGTTTCTTCTTTTTGGTAAATGGGAAAGCTAATAAGGCAGATAATATGAAAAAATAATTTAGTGTGAAGGAAAGCTGTAGAACTGTGGAAACAGGAGGAGGAACCGTGGAGGTTTATGCAATTCAATATTAATTCAAAGCTTTTTCTTTTTAAATACAAATGTGGTGGACAGTTACGATGGCAGAGATTTGACTTTACTGTTAAGGGTCTTTCATAGACGTAGTTTAAGCAGCAGCACGGCCACTCTACATGTCTAAAGTCTGTATGAAGGATAACCTTACCCTCCATTTTGTATTTTGAACTACACTTCCCAAATTAGAACAGTGAAGTATGGAGCTGCCCTTTCCTATCATTTTGCGAAGGCAAGAATTTAATTGAGGATGGCATGTATCTCTGTGCAGGAGGGTATATGGGCAGGGAGGAGAGTATGGGTGTGTTTTTATCAGGTTCGGATTTGCTTGCAAAACAACTCATTCTGTTTTCAGAGGCAGTGACAGCTTAAAGAGTGCTGCTCAAAAAAAACCCCACTGCCATTGAATTATCCTCTACAGCGAGTGGCCACTGTGCTCAAGCTTTCCTTCACGTCTGCTTTGGCCAGACAGTTAGAGTGGCAAGTTTTAACTACCTAACAGGCACTAAGAATGCAGCTATTTTTAGATACTATAAATATATATACCTTAAAACAAATGCGTCCTCTTATCAGTCCATAAGGAACAGGTCCATAGCATCTGGAATCTGTAGAATTCCTGAGATTATCACCTTCTAACCAAACGTGTCCTTTAGGTACCTATGATTAAGCAAGATTGCAGTGTAAAAAGATAATAGAATAGAATGGTGTTGAGCACAGTTTATCTTACAATGTATTTTCTGATTTCTGTGTTCCCTATTTCATGACTGTACAATGAACTAGTTTTTTATTGAATCTAGTAAGACACAGTGCCAGATCTGGAGGGTGGAGTGCTCCGAAGTATCTGTTCTGTCACGTGCTCAAAAACCAATGGATTGCAACAAAAAATCCAAAATGAAGATGTAAGAGGTTAGAGCAATGTGACAGGGTCATTAATTTAATAGACTTCAAAAGAGGTCATTAGGATGTTGACTGAAAATCTGCCCTCCTGTCGCAGTAACAGCATGAACAGGGCAGCCACACACTCATCAACATCCTGGGGCCAGCACCAAGGCTAGACCTGTTAGTAGAGTCATGATGAACTAACTGGTAATTGATTGTGACATCAATTACAAATAATCTCATCATTTTATCGGAGTGGGCTTGTCAAAGTTCTAATTAAGATCACAGTTCATTCTATGTGCAGGCAGAATCCACAACACATTATATTGCAATAATGATGATCACAAACCACCAAATCCCTTTTTATAATTTGAAAATTAATGATGGTGACCTTATACTATATGACAAAGACCTTTCATTACCTATATATATGTTATGCATTAACTATATAGCATACCACAGATTGATGGCAGTCACTGACGGACTCAATGACAAACTGAGAAATAGGGGAGTATAAAGCTTTCGTATGTGAAAAAGTTGTTACTGTAAGTCTTAACCTAAGACTTCCTCTTGGAACATACAACGCTATTTCAATATGTTTCCTTAAAAATAGATCAGATATTAATAACCGCTTAAAAGTGACCAAATGAAATACTTAGTAATTATTTTTCTAATCTGTGTTTGTTTCTAAAATTCTAAATCGGGCTGAAAATTTAAAAGTAGCCACTTATTCCCAAGCTAGGTAATATTTAACATGGACTTCCGGTTAACATACATGTTTCCAAAACCACGTACTTGAAACATCACTATGCCCATAATTCCAAGAAAAAAAATATGGAAACAAAATTAAAAAACCAAGTGAAACTCAGAGTTTTAGCAGTATAAACATGAATGGTTTAGAAATAAACCACAAGGATTCATAAATACAGTAGTCTACATAGACAGAATTTAAGGATAATAGACTAAACAAAATAAAATACCACTCCAGGAGTGAAGTTTGGCTGTAAACCATTAAGAATAAAACCAGGCCCCCAGAAAACCACTTGAGGAGAATGCAGTTGCAGCGTAATTGTTTGTACTTACAGGTATCTGGCCAGGTAACGCTTACAGGAACCTTGGCTTTAAATGAGCCTTTTAGGCTCTTGCTTAGTGATGCTCCCGCCTGCCTGTTACCAGGCTAGGATCTGAGGACACCTTATCACCCCAGAGTCCCTTTGTTGAGCTGTAGCAAGTGTACAAGCTACAGATTAAGACCCAATAGTTTGTTTCTGACAGCACAAGGGAGAGATACTCATGGTGGAAAGTACATGTCCATCTTCTCTCAGCCACCCCCTGGGTTTCTCTGGTGTCCAGGAGAGGAGTTCCAGTATGTCAGAGGGCACACATCCCTGCCTCAACATTTTAGAATCTCTATGTATAGACCAGCAGTATGTTTAAAACCCTTTTGAAACCTACTGATACTGTCTGTTTCCACAGGCTCCTGTATAAAGGAGGGATGCCTTGTTTGTTTTCAACTGATCTGTTTTTTCTACCAAGGTTCTCTACTTCTTGTTCTTCGAGTCCTTCAGCACAGGAATTCCACATTCAGCCACCTTTCTTGTTTTGTAGGCTTATCAGATTGCTGGCGTGTGCATGGAAAGGCTTCCTCTGGGAAGGCCAGCTGCTTTCAGAGCGATTACTTTGGGCCTCCTCCTACCCGGGCAGCTTTGCAAACAAAATAATCAGATGGAAGTCAATCTAAATAATTTTCAAAATAGTTCTATTCAGAGTCAAGTGATCTCTTTAGAATATTCATCTCGTCACACGTGAACACAGGGTTTTGATAGGTCTCTGAGAATGTACTGCCTTTCCTATTTTCCTTAATGTGTGGTATACAGTTGATTTCGAATGTCCAGCAGCAACTGTTCGGTTTGTTGGATATTTACCTCATTTGCAGTGTATCTAGTGCAATGGGTGTGTATTACAACACAAAGCAGCATTCTGACCTTTCTGGTGCAAACTCTCCTGTACACCATCTACCAGAACTGCAAATTATGCGTCAAACTACTGTATTTTGAAAGACTATCTCAGGAAATATACCAAAAGGAGAAAGCATGAATTACTATGAAAGGAAGATGATTTTTTTTCCCAGTGAAATAAAAAGCAAACACACATTAGCATTTCACGTTTCTGAAAAAGCCTCACTTCTTGCCACGTGCTGTTGTTTCACACACAGCACACAACCAGCTCCCCTTCTACTTTACTGGTTCCCACTTTTTCTCACCCTCCGCAGTTCATGGGCAAAAGGTGAAGCTCATCTCTTTTTACTTGAAATAAGGACGCCCTCATAACATAACTATATCCAAACACTTCTAAACCTCCCCATCTTTCTTCCATGCTCCAAAAGTGTAAAAGGATAAAATCAATTCCTTTTGCCTGCTGTGGCTATCACTTACTACTTCCAATATGATTAATAATTACTTGTCTAGACAAGACATTCATAGTTTGCATTCCAAATAGAACATTTGCAATAAAGTATAATCCTATACCCTGAAATTCACCACTTACAGTAACTTTTGTAGTTCTCCATGTAAGGTATGACAGAACCCTATACCCCTAAAGTTGTCCTAAAAAGAGTATTGTCACAATGTATAACTCATCTAGAGATAATACAGTATAATACCTTTGTATGGTGCCTGTCCATCATCCAGGCACTTCACTAAAACCTAGAATTAAGACAAGCAATAAAAATAACATGAAATAGATGAAAATGTAAAACCAAATACCAGTGACAGGCTGTAATCATTGATAAAAAAACCCCATAAAGTTACTTACACTACTTTGAAATAAAGGCTAAAGCCAGAATCCTTCAAGGGTTTATGAACCAAACTATGTCTAGACCACATCACTGATTTCAGTGGAATTACTCACATTGGACTAAGTTAACTTTGAGTATCAACCTTTGCAAAGTCAAGACCCAATCGGAAATGCCTCAAAGCTGTACAAGCACAGAAGCTGAGAAAAGAAGATCAATTTTTAACCAAAGGAAAAAAAAACAAGAAAACCAACAAGCTGTGGAAAACTTGTATTTATAGGAAGACTATATTAATTACACACTGACAAGCTGCTACTGCCAGAAAACCACAAGGCAATGGGAAAGCCACTTGCTTGACAATTCATGTTACATTTTGGTATCTACAGGCCACAGACCTCTTAGACCAAGTTAACTGTATCTAAGTACAACTGAAATCACGGTTACCGTTACTACCCTCTGAAATACTGTGATGACAAAATGCATTGACAAGAGTGCCAAAAGCATTACCTTAGTCTGGGCAGCATTTCAGCTCCCCCTCGCACACAGGCCAGAACTAAGATGTGAAAGCCTCACGAGCCCAACGACTGAATGATCACGCAACTAACTAGTGGCTCACCAGCAAAACCAGCAGTGCCACAGCAGCATGGGTGCACACGAAAATACGCTGCCTCTGACCGCCTGCAGACTCTGCCTCAGCAACCCCTGTGCCTCTGCTTTTGTGCAGATTATCTGAGGATTTACTTCCAAGAAACAGCAGTTCTCAGGCAGAACCGGTTATCTGAGGTGCAGCTCATCTGCATGAGAATACAGGACACTGATCAGACACACGACTTGTCCCCCTTCTCCCTTCCAAGGCTCTGAGGGCTCTAGTACAGGAGCAGACAGACCAGAAGAGCAAAATTATCATTTAGAACAACTCAACCTGTAGCAGTAGCTTATTCTCTTTCAGCTCAGATGATATAAAAAAAACATCTTTAACTGACAAACTGGGTAAATTTGCAGGGCTGTTGCATTTACTCAATGGCAGTTAAAGTAGCAAAACTGAAGTACAGGTCAGGTACTTGATATCTACTTACTAACTTAAAACATTAATTTACATAAATGGCCACGGAGAAATCAACAAACAGTTATATACTTTTGGTCTTTTTATATGCCACCAAACATTGTTCTTTGAGTAATCTCACTAACTTCAAGAGATGAGATGCTTGCACTGCATTAACTGGTGTATTAGAAAACTAATATACTGCAAATAAGATTACAAGATTAAATTATCTATCTCAAAAATACCTCCAACCCCAACTAAATGAAAACAGGCTTCTGTGGTTTAGGTTGGGTTTTGGCTTTTTGTTTTGGTTGGATTTGGTATGGGATTTTTTTTTGGTTTGTAATTTTGGAGGATGCAGGTACTAAAGATGGAGAAACAGGGATTTTTAATAAATAAGTGGAGAATTATAAACATGAATCGCTATCCATTTGGAATTCCAAGCACCCTGTGTTTGTCAAAGAACATCAGCTTGTACAATCAGCTGGGAGTAGATGAAGTTTGAACTTTCATAAGGTCACAGGTATTCACATCACCTCCAGCAATATCAAAGTTTCAAACTTAAGAAGAACTTTAAATCATTCCCATCTTTTCTTTTCAGTTCAGAGGCTTCCTTCTTGAGCTATGATAAGAACTAATCTCAGTGCTGGACAAAAGAATAAAGTCTGCAAGTTCTCATCTATCCCTACTAAGGTCTATTTAAAGCGCCTTCTACTTTGGTACAAGCAACAAATGTAATTGCTTCATGGCCTGCGGGTGTTCAGTTAACAAAAGAACCTTTTGTGAATAAACCACAGGTGTTACCTTTCTTGATTAAAGTGAAATATGATGAAAGAATCTACAATATCAAATGACAAATTTACTAAATACTGATTAAATTGCCTTATTTAAGTAAATTGCATCTAGTTAGGATAAAATATACACCCTAGAAATGCAGGAGTT